ACCTAATTAGCGGGGTCGCAGTACAAGACGCATCTCTATGGGGACGCCATCTCTCCTAGAGTGGGAGCACACCTTGTCAACAATGTGTCAGCTGGGATATGGACCATAGCAGAGACGATCTGCACTTCCATATGCTGGAAATGAAAGCAGCGATAAACTCCATACTCCACCGGATCAGCTTTTTTATAAAATGCTCATCTAACGGTACACACAGTCACCTCCACAGTGACGGTCTACATCCACAGAAAGATCAACAAAGTTGGCGAACCTTCTGGACCTCTGCTTTCAGTTGATCAGCATAACAGTCAACCTGACTGTCCACAGCAGAGTATGCCACATTCCAAGAACCAAGAATGTGTTAGCAGATACACTATCCTGTCCAACGCAGCCATTCTCAACAGACTGGATGCTACATTCAGAGATCTTCAAACAGATCATATAAGAGATGGTTGAACCTTTAAGAGACCTCTTCCCCACAAGGGTCAACTGATAACATTCGTCTCACAAATACCAGATCCACGGACAGGGGGCAGCGGACATGCGAAGCATCTCCTGCCTAGGACTAAACACTTACGTGTTTCTCCACCAGCTCTAATACTTAGGGTATTGCAGAAATCAGTCAGGCGAGAGACCCACAACTATTTGGGGCACGCCTTTTGACCAGCGAGAATATGAATTCCTATTCTCATACAAGACCTAGGACTGCCTCTACTGCAACTACCAGAGTGTACGAATCTACTAGTACATCCTCACACAAAGCAGGCGACGGCAACCCGGAGGTGTTCGCTACACGCGGTGGACTGTATCAGGCATGCTGGAACAAGAGAGGATATTTCAGCCAGAACAGCGAAAGCAGTCACACTAGCTTTACGCAAGTCTTCACGCATAACTTGTCTGGCGACAAGTAGTGACGCTTCGAGACAAAAGATAAGTTTCGAGGATCGGCTTCACAGCCATGAAAGTGACACATCCTCAAGTGGCGGACTACCTTTGTCACCTAGACAAAGGAAGCAGTTAAAAGGGTCAACACTCTCAACATACCTAGCGGCATTGAGATCAGTTATCGTCATGAGGACAAGTGCAACTGACAAAAGTACCAGAGTTACTGGCCTTACTACGCCCTTTTAATTGGAGGACCAACATCAGAGATTTAAAGCTCCGGTATGGGACCTCAGCGTTGTTCTACGACATCTCACTAGTGACATCTACGAACCATTACAGAGAACATCATTAGAGTTCTTGACGCAGAAGGAGCTGTTCCTGATAACCTTAGTAACAGCAGCAAGGATGTCGGAAATACATGCTCCGGTTTTCAGAGAACACGATTTGATGCAAATCAAATATCGTGCATATGGGACTGAGATGGGACTTCATAGCAAAGAATCAACTGCCAGGTCATCCAGACAGACAGTTCCACGTCCCAACACTATCATCAGCCCTTGGACCACAGGATACACAGGTCTTATCCTTGTGCCCAGTATGAGCATGGAAAGTCTACCTACAACGATCCAGGTCCATGAGCCGGAAATTCAAATGTCTTTTCGTCTCGAAATCAACAGCGGCACAGACGAAGGTCTTCCGGACTAAGATATCAAGCTGGATCAGAACTGTCATACTACGGGCCTACAAAGCAGCAGGACTGGATCCTCCAAGAGCCTCCAACCCACATGAAGTGAGAGCTCTGACGTCAACGCTCTCTATACTTGGGAATCGCTTTATCAGGACGATAATGGAGGGCTGCTTCTGGAAATGGGACATGGTGTTTGCCAACCACCACTTGAGGGACATCGCCACTGAGGACAGCTCTTACATTCACCATTTCGGCCCACTTATTGTAAGACAACAATTGACAGTCCCACTAAGGCGCTGAGACGGAGTCTCGTCCTTTTTTATCGCATGACTTACTAAGCTTACACTCAGCGGAGTTCTGCTTAAGTCACAATGCACGTCTAACAACTAGCATAAGTGATATGACCCAGTACTTGTAAGGATACTTGTACAGGAATGGGTCGCTTCTCCACTTGGTGCTTGCATCAAGAGATAGAGTCGCAAAATCCACATAAAATGTTAACAGAAGAAAGGACCAAAAGTGAACTATTGTGGTCCCCCCATTTAAAGGCAGCTGGAAGGTCAGGGTCGCAACAGCAGCAGAGTTTACCAGTAAATACAGTGCCATTATGAAGTTCCCGTAAGGGGGGTATATAATGACGTAAAATTCACTAAAGAAATCCTAAAGTGCTTTTCCCACCACCTTTTCCGTCGGATTCTACAAGCAAAAGAGCATGAGTCAGGATAAGGAAAAATATGTAATTTTCTGAATAAAATTGATATTTTATACTTATCCTGACTCATGAGGTAAGCCCACCCAGCCTCCCCACTAGACACTTTGGATTTCCCTGCAAATTCAAGTGTCGGGCTCATAATCAGGAGAGAGTGAGGCATGTGGGCACGGTGGCGCCACAGTTTCCCGCCTAAACGGCTGGAGAGATAACTCTTGGTAGGAGTGATTTTACGTCTATTCTTTATTGAAGGGAGCTTCAATAGGAGATACAAGTGTTCCACTATGTTTGCAAGAAGAAGAAGACAAGCAAAAGAGCATGAGTCAGGATAAGTATAAAATATCAATTTTATTCAGAAAATTACATAATTGAGTTGAAGGTGTCACTTGTTTGTTATTTAATTAGGATTAATTAAGAAGGAATTAATTAGGAAGTACTCACTGATAACGGATTATAGTTTCGAATCAAAACATGCTGAGAATCCAATGAGGTCTTGGTGTAATCTTTTGACATAGCATGTGATTGTTGAGTTGTTTCTAAATTGCGGACTGAGGAGTCAGTTTGAAAGCTATTGTGTTGTGGGGCTATAAAATGATATGCCCTGGTCAGATGTCTCGAAATTCTTTCTTGGTCCCATGAATATCGAGACAACGGTGCTCGACTGTACGCTACTACACATTGAAAAACATGAACCATGTTTATGACAAGGGTTGTTTACACATATCAGAGTTTTACCTTGATTCACAAAAATGGGGGTCCCAGGCACCCCTAATTATTAGTTTTGAGGGTCCTTGCAGGCAATACGAGATGCTGTGAAGTAATGGTGTGGAGAACTGTTTGTTTTGATAAGTTCTTTAGAACCTGGAATGAATCATTTATGATCTTGACTGATATGGTGAAATGATGCACGTAACTGCTCTAAAAGAAACAGCCAAACACTTAGCAAAGTTATAGATGTGTTGTAGGAGCAGTGTACAATATTGTGCATCCCTCCTCTACATTTGTGCATACTGGACGCACATGTGCGCGTCGTGTAAAATCCTAACATAAACAGTTAAGAGATATGTTCTTGGCTGCCCCAGTATAAAAATGAATAAGGAAATAAAACAATAAAATGTGAATCTGTTAATGAGAAAGTGGAAATGGACAGTCTGTCAGTTCATCTTCAATAGTGATTGATGCTTGGCTATGTCTATGAACAATTACAGTTTAGCCATTGTAACTCCAAGGTGACACCATTGTCATGGGTGGGTAAATGAAAGCAAAATGTATGGATGATTTGATTCAGGAATTCCCAATGTTCCCAATGTTCGTTACGATAATATATGTTGTAGATAGTAGATATAAGATGGAATAGTTACTGTTATTAATATCTTATGTTCAGTAAGAGTTTGTGGTTTTACTTCCAGAGTTCCACCAACCCACTCCCCAGAGATACTTATATTTCTACAATTATTTTCTGTTATTACTTATTTTTATTAAAAAGCCCTTCTAGTCATCTAATTCAGGAATAATCTGAGTCTGTGGCCCTCTTGTCCATGTAATTTATTTTCACTGGGGTGCATCTTACAACAAGCAGGCATTGCAAAATATTTGTCAATGAGTGAATTAGTATATATTTTTATTTCATGTGACACATACGTATTCTAAGAAACTGAAGCTGAAACTACAGACATGGTCCCACCAGTACTAACACACCAATAAGTTCAAGAGAAGTGAATCTGATTTTCACTTTGGCAGTTTGGTTGAAAAACCTTATTATGCACATTCCTCATCCATTATTCTTTCAAACAATAACCCTGTTATGTCATTGCCATTCAGTCCTTTATTAAAAACCATCATAATTTCAACAGAAGTCTTATTCACTCTCAGTTATGTAGCATCCTTGCATGCGCAAGACATTTAACCTCACTTCCTTTTCATAATTGCAATTTCAACTCATAAATGTGTCTTCAACACATAAATGTGCACTGCTAATTTGGTCTTTTTGCTTTTTAAGTCCTTACATTAACCTCATACTTATACTGGTTAATATTGGTATTGTACAAGTAGAAGAAAATTGTTCGTGTCTAAAGATGTTAGGGATTTTGAAATGTTGTGTCAAGACTGAGTGAAAGATATATTGACAGTTCTACTGGGAGTTGAAAACAACATGATTGGGAACACTAATTATCTTTTTTATCTGTCATAGTGATTGATCAGAACATATAACATGGTATAACATGTATGTCAGGAAATCAGAAGTTGCTCTTTTTGTTACTACTTCCAAGGCCAGGCTAACATGGAATCACTCTTGGTCAATAGTTTAAGAAATGACCTGCTTCTGTTTTTCAGCTGTTGCAAGAACATGTATTTTTACTCAACCTTCTGGTTTGAACATATACTTTTGACTCAACCTTTTTTGAGATAATCATCTGAACAGATGTTCATGTTTTTTTTTTTAATATTTCAACTTTTGAAAGGCTATATGAAAGCCAATATGAATTGGTCAAAGGTTACATGGTAAAGACTACACCTAGTCTCAGATTGTTATCTGTACAGAATACTTTCATGTTCATACTTTTGTATGCATTTTCTAAGCTATCAAATGTGATTTTAGTCAAGAAGGTTTCTTAAGTACTTTTGAAAATATAACATTAGTTTCAAAGTTCATTAATATGGTGCCTTATGGTGAGATCGAGTCAACCATTTCCATGTGACATTTGTCTTGACTGGTTTCAGACAGACCTTCCAAACATGACATGGCATGAAGTACAGAGATGTTTGCTGGAAGTTCAGAAGGAGCAGCATCTGTGTATCCACAAACAGGAACTTAATGAACTTGGTAGGTATGCAGTCAAAATTGCATCAGTAACAATTTTCAGAATTTTAGGGAGCCTATAGAGAAAACATTATAAATCATTTTATAGAGAGATAACATTTCATCAAAGTTTATTACTTTTTAAGTTTTTAACTCTCTTTGCCTAACTTCAGCCAAGTGAGCTTAAGTCAGGAACAATTGGTCATTGTCAATATAGGTTATTTTTAAACTTATCCTATCTCACGACTTGCACCTCTCTCTCTCTTCATTCGACCATGAGTGGAAACGAATTAAAACTTTGCTCCAAGGCCTACCTTGCCCCTCTCCCGTGCTGTGCGTGCCTTCTGTGTCAGTCGTGCTCACTAGTCCATGACAGCACGAGGCATGCGCAGTCCTCACCCACGTGATCACCTCACATACTCATTCTCTTTCTTGTCGCTCCACTGAGTGGAAGTGAAAATGTTTTCGTCTAAGATTTGCTTAAAATGGTTAAGCCTGTTCAGGCCAGTAAACGGATGTTTTGCGCCCGTTGTAATAAAGTAATTTCAGCATGGGACCCACACACATCGTGTGTTGATTATGTGGGTGTTTGTGACTGGGACACACGCTGTCCGAAGTGTTCAGGTCTGTCTAATGAGGCGCGTTTAAATTTTACAAACGTGCTTGTGCCAGACGTTTGGCAGATAGGGCTAGGACTAATTCTCCGGGGTCTGGTCCATCTCCCGCTAAGAAACAATGCTTAGATCGCCCCACCCTCACTGCTCACCGTTCTCAATCGCCCGTCTCTCCTGACGAAGATTTTATGGACGCTTCGTCGGATTCCTATTTATCTGAGAACGTTAGAAGGCTTTTAGGGGAGCTTCCCTCACCCAGTTTAAGTTCTCATGAGCGTACCAGGGTGGTAGTGACCGATATTTCTTCTACGCCAGACCTGCGATCTACATTATCTCGTAGGTCTGCTTCTTCGGAACGATCACAGACTTCGAGAACTTCTAAGCATTCATCGTTGAAGCGGGGATCGGCGCGGTTGGAACGTACCCGCTCTCCTATTTCCACGGCTGGGAGGAGTCGTTCTAGGTCTCATTCACTTTCCCGAGCCGGCTCACCCCGCCGAACCGGCTCTCATGGCCGAACCGGCTCACATGGCCGAGCCGGCTCACAATGCCGAAGGCACCCATGAAGGGCCACCTCCTCGTGGTGGGTGCTGGGTCACGCTAAGCGCCCTTCAACCCCCCGTTGTGGACCCGGGGGGGATATTTTGGTCCACCAACCTGTTGGCCGTGGGTTGCGCCCCTGTGTCGGTGGAGGACGGGAGGCTGGTGGTTGAGGGCACTGGTTCCAGGAACAGTGTTCCTTTGCCCAACACACCACTTCGCCCCTTACTTCACCTAGACGGGTGGTTGAATGGGCCCGGTTCAACCAATCGGCTGGTCATGCCGAGCCCTGAGCACTTAATTTTCTGCTCTAAAACTATTAGGCTTGGATTTATTTGGCCACAATATTGACATGTTTTGTTTGGTATATATATTGTATTAAATATGAATTTTCAAATTTGATAAAATTTGCCTAGATGCTGGTGCCAGAAGGCGATGGCTCATGGGCCAATCTTGTAGACTGATTACTTGTTTAATCTTTCTGCTGGAGTATATCATCCGGTATCCCTGGTGCTGCAAGTTGGAGATCCACTTGTAATTAGCACTGTCTTTATGATACTCCGTGGTGGGTGGGGAGCTCGGATGATGAAACAATATACATTCAATATGGCTTACTTAAACTCCCCAAAAACTAAACGTCCACTTGACAATGATGAAGAACAGCGACCTTCACAGTCTATTGATTACTGGCCACGGTTTATAGTGATTGAGACTATTGATAAAATGCCTCTGAAATTAAATCCGTTTGCAGTCTCTAAAGGCATTCATGGCATTGCAGGAGAGGTGAAAAACATTAAACGCTATGCTCAGGTGCTTTGTTAATCGAATGTAGCAAAGCGACACCAAGCATCCAACCTCCTTTCCCTTGATTCACTTGTTGGTATACCCGCTTTCAGTTTCTGGCGCACCGTACTCTTAACACCAGCAAAGGTATTGTACGAGATCGGGATCGATTGTTCGCTGACATGACAGAGCTGGAGATAGTCTCAGAAATGAAAGATCAAGGTGTCACCTTTGTAAAACGGTTTACCACCCAGAAAAACTCAGAAATCCACCAAACAAACACCTACCTCTTTTCATTTTCGCCTCCAAATGCTCCTCACTCAATAAAGGCAGGGTACTGCAATATCAGGGTTGACACATACATTCCCAACCCTCTCAGATGTTTCAAATGTCAGAAGTTCGGTCACGGTATGAACACCTGCATTATTGTCTGTTACATGCGCTCACTGCAGTGAGAAGACGATGTTACGGAAGATTGTGACAGCAACTTCAAAGTGTCGCCAACTGCTTTGGAACACACTCTTCTTCCTCTAAGGAATGCCCGATGTGGAAACAGCAGATGGTGATTAATAAACTTAAATTCACTAAAACATCAGTTTTCGCGGAAGCTAAAAACTCGCATACAAACACCAGGACAGGAAACATGCTGCGCCAATCACCAGAACACTATCTGATACAACCCCAAAACAGTCCCAAGTCTTAACAACGCCAGTAACCTGTCAAACGGATTTGACATGGGTGAAAACGACTACTCTCGGTGAAGTTTTCACCAGAACAATCCACTCAAACAACAGTTGTAATTTCCTCCCAAATCCAATCTGAGTCTGAGGATAATCGTGAAAGATCTGTACCACAGGATCAATCAACTTCTCACTCAACTGCAAAAGTCCAACAAGTCGTTAAAAACAAAACGAAAACCAAGGCCAGATTCAAATAAAAACTTCAAAGTGGCAGAGTCTCAAAGGGATCAGAAAACCAAGTTCAACTCTATAATAAATATGGTTCACTTGAGGACATGGAAGTGTCCGACTACTCCCATGCAAGGGCACATAGCTTGTCGCCCAATAAAAAGTGAGGGGTAGAATCCCAATCCTTCCACCTAAAAGATAGTCCATTCCAAAATATAGTACAGTGGAACTGTAGAGGATTAAGGACTAATTTTAATGAGTTACAGCTATTAGTCCAAGATTTGGCACCATCAGCTTTCTGTCTGCAGGAAACCTATCTGAAGCAGACAGATACTTTTAATTCACGCCAGTTTGTTGCATATAATTCTTTTTCACCTCCGGGTGACAGGGCCACTGGAGGGTCTTCAATCCTTGTAAAGCAGGACGTTATCCATAGTCCTGTAACGCCACAACTAGTCTCCAAGCTGTTGCTGTGAGATTAACCCTTCACGTTACCTTTACACTGTGCTCTTTATATATTCCGCCTTCTTCAACACTCCAGCAGTCTGAACTTCAAGCTCTCTATGACCAACTTCCTAAACCTTGTATTATAATGGGTGATCTCAATGGCCATAACCCGATCTGGGGTGGTACAAGCACTAACACTAAAGGTAAAATACTGGAAGATTTTATATCCAATAATGACCTGTGTATATATAATGACGATTCGAGCACTTATCTGCATCCTGCAACTGGCACGCACGCTCTTCTCTAGATTTGTCTCTTGCAGACTCTAACCTCCTCAATGAATTTGACTGGTCAGTCCACAATGACCTCTGTGGAAGTGACCACTTTCCAACTATCCTTTCAGAAATCTATCCATCTGAATCTATATCTTATACAAGATGGCAATTTTCCAAGGCGGACTGGCTCTTATTTCAAACTTTGTGCACATCTAAAATAAAAACTGAATATTTCAGTGATATAACTGATCCTATTGAGGTGTATTCTGACGCTTTTACATGAAATAGCTGATGAGTGTATACCAAAGTCCTCTACAACTCCACATGTACGGAAACCATGGTTTAATACAGATTGTAGGCAAGCCAGAAAAGCGAGGAAAAAAGGCAGAGAACTATTTCCGCCATCACCCAACTGTCCATAACTTAAATAAATTTAGAATGCTCAATGCGAAGGCACGTCCGTACCTTCAAACAAAATAAACGGCAATCTTGGAGGAACTATGTCTCCAAAATCAATTCACGACGCCAATGTCCAGAGTATGGAACATGGTTCAAAGAATTAAAGGTAAAGGTTCAAAATCTGCTGTTCACCATCTTAAAGATGGCGATAATTTAATAACTGACAAATCTAAAATTGCAGATAAAATTGGTGAAACTCTTGCCAAAAATTCTTCATTGGCAAATTATGTCCCTGAGTTTCAGAGATATCAGAAACAACAGGAAAAGAAAAACTTAATTTTGAATCAAATAATGGTGAAGACTATAATGAAGTGTTTTCATTACATGAGCTATATACAGCTCTTGAGCAAGCTCATGACACTGCAGCTGGTGATGACAATATTCATTATCAGCTACTGAAACACTTACCTGAATCATGTCTGGTCACACTTTTAGATATATTTGACAAAATATGGACGCCTGGAAATTTTCCTCCCTCGTATGTAATGCCATTGTTGTCCCCATACCAAAACCTGGCAAGGATCATACTGATCCGTCGAATTACAGACCAATATCTCTAACTAGCTGTGTCTGTAAAACCATGGAACGATATGGTGAATAATAGATTAACTTGGTATCTTGAAACCAATAACCTGATAACAAATATTCAATGTGGTTTCAGGAAAATCGTAGTACCATTGATCATTTGGCACGCTTAGAATCCTTTGTCAAGAATGCTATAATTAATAAACAACATGCTGTATCAATTTTCTTTGATCTTGAGAAAGCTTATGATACGACCTGGAAGCATGGCATTTTAAAGGATTTACATGATTTCGGGTTTATGAGGCCGTTTGCCTCTCTTTATATCACAGTTTTTAAAAACAGACAATTTCAAGTCCGAGTGGGTTCAACCCTGTCTGATCATTATAATCAGGATCAGGGTGTCCCTCAAGGCAGTATTTTGTCAGTCACATTGTTTAGTATCAAGATAAACAGTTTATCCAAGGTTTTAAACG